TAGATTTGGATTTGCAATAACAAATTTAGGGGATTTAAACAAAGATGGATATGATGATATAGCCATTGGAGCACCGTATGAAGGCAACGGGGTTATTTACGTGTATAAAGGTTCAGCTCTTGGAATAGTAACCGAACCTTCACAAGTTAGTCTAAAATGTCTGCATATTTTTATGTATAAAGATTATATTAATTTGATATTTAACGTCTGTATAGGTTATTAAAGCTGAGGATTTGGTGGTGGACAATCTACAAATACGTACCTTAGGTTATTCATTGAGTGGAAATGGGGTGGATTTAGATCAAAATGGTTACCCAGATTTAATATCAGGTGCTTACGAAAGTGACTTGGTAATATTGATTAGAGCACGGCCAATTGTAAACATAACCTCTACCGTTGGTCCTGCTGAAAAACTTCGTAATATTGATCCAACTAAAACTGGATGTTCGGCCAACCGAACATCACCGGTCACATGGTAAATCTAATATTTTAAGAAATTATTTCATTACTTCACATGCTTATATAACTATAGTCTTTTAATTTAATAACGTCATTGTTATATTTAGTTTTACTTTTGAAACCTGTTGTGCATTGGAGTCGGTCGTTAAGGCAGGATCTGATGGTCGATGGGATGTTCGATTGCATTATAAATTAGAAGCTGAAACATTCCAAGAAGGTCGTAAGTTTTCGAGGGTTTGGTTTGGGCCTGATCACAATTTAAAGCCTCAAACAATTGAAAACTACGTTTCTGTGGATCATAACAAAAAAAGAACTTGTCAACAACACACTGCTTACATCAAAGTACTGTGTATTATCTATTCATTCAAATTGACATTTATATTACTATTATGATTTAGGAGAATACCATGGATATCCAGTCTCCAATTGCTTTACGTATATCATACTCTCTTAAACAAAATGATGTTCCGGTTCTTAAACCGGGAGATCCTGTACCCTCATTAGCTGATTTGCCAGTATTGAATCAAAATCAAGCTGAAAAAACATTCTTTGCTACATTCCATAAAGATTGTGGAAATAACGACAAATGTGAAAGCCAAGTTCATGTGAATGCTGAATTGATGTTACCTAAAACACAAAGTAAATTTATGTTTTATGAAATGTGATAATAATTATATGGGAATGAACTCTATGTAATTAATTTGTAGTTCAGTTAGTTTTATGTTTTTATATGTATTAACTTACTGTAACTACTATTTTATTGATTATAATTTTTATTTATTTTAGTTACAGAATATGAATTAGTTATCGGACAACATGTTGAAATAATTTTAAACACAACTGCTTATAATCATGGTGAATCTGCTTATGAAAGCAGAATGTTTGTGATTCACCCTTATTCATTTAATTATATTGGTACAGTGAAATTAGATGATGTAAGATTAATAATTTATGCTTAATTGATTGGTTACATTCAGCTAATCAAATGTGTTTATAGATGAAACAAGCAGATTGTAATCCATTCAACAAGACTATGGTTGTATGTGCTCTTGGTAATCCTTTAAAGAAATCTGCTTTTGTGAATATTCAATTGCGTTTTGATCCAAAAGAACTGAACGATTCTGAAAATCAGTTGGAGTTTGTAGTGATATCTAACTCTACTTCCCATGAAATTGAACCTCAAAGTCCCCTTATTTTGAGGGTTAATGTGATAAAACGAGCTGAATTGTCGTTAAAAGGGTAAAATTAAATAAAAAATATTCTCATATTGTAATTAGTTATTATTATACATTATTTTTCTGCTGATTATAATTCTAGGTTAGCTCGTCCAGAACAAGTGTATTATGGTGGTCAGGTAAAAGAAGATGCATCTATTAAGTATCGTGATGAAGTTGGTTCTAGAGTTTTGCACACTTATCAAGTATTTAATTATGGTCCTTGGAAAGTATCCAACCTTGAAGTACATATTGATTGGCCTTATCAAGTATCTAGTCATTACACTCCAGGAAAATGGCTATTGTACTTAGATGAGAAACCTTTCGTTGAAGGTAAGTTAAGATTTAAGAGTTTTTTGAATTGATGAAGTAATTTTTATTTTTTATTGACTTGATTAATATTTTAGCATTAAATGGTGGAGAATGTTATATGTCCCAAGATCAAGTTAATCCATTGGGATTATTAGTACGCCCGGGAGTTCAAGAAATGCCGCTTGATAGTATTCGTACTGAAAATGCTGCTTTAAACAACTTTATGGTTTCAAAATCAACTAATTATATCATAAAGAATAGTAGTACGGGATACTACCAGAATAGAGTTCGTAGAGAATTAAATTATGTGGTTGGCGCTGAAACTTATACTAAAGATAATGGAAAACGTTTACAAATTGTCAAAATGGTATAATTTTTTTTGCATTAATTGCATTATTTGAAAATTTTGTAATAATATTTTTGGTATTTTTAGAACTGTTTATTGGGGAACGCAAATTGTTTCAAGTTTCGGTGTCGAATCAACAATTTACAAAAAAATCAAGAGGCTACTATTTTTATTAAAGCAAGGTTAGCTAATGTTGATTATTAACTTTTGTATACTAATTATTTTAATTATAAAATCTTGTTAATTTTTATTTTTCAGACTCTGGAATTCTACTTTGTTACAAGAATTCCCTAAAGTTGATTCTGTTCAGATTGTATCTCGTGCTAAAATTCATATTCCCTCTGATGTATTATTGCAACAAAATCATTCAGACGATGAGTTTGAAGTAAGTTGCATAATATTATCATTATTTAATCATCATGGTTTTACGAACTCTATTGAAATTTAATTTAAATTCGTTTATATAAATAAAATAATGCATTCTTATAATATTGAAATTTTAAACAACGGTCTTTTTAGCAAAATATGTCTTTTGCTATAGTTTTTTAATATGGTTGAGTTTAATTGTTATGATAAGATGTAATATGAATTAAAAGAAACAATATGCAAGTTTACTGGTTAATATTTTGATGTTAATGTATTTACAAAGAACTATTGAAAATAAAGTAATGTATAATAAGAAATGAGGAAAAAGTTTTGAAGGGATTAATACTAGAATTGGTTAAATAATTTATATGGATGTGAGTTTAGCAAATTCTATGATATGAAAAGGAAATATTATTTTATTGTTGCCATTTAAAATTTAACACAGTTACAGTATTTGTAAGAAATTTAATGTAAATTTAACAGGTAGAGACTATTGCCATATTAGATTTGTTGGAACAAGAAAATGAGCCGATTCCTTGGTGGTATATTATTCTTGCCATATTGGCTGGACTCTTGCTGTTAATACTCTTAACTTATTTACTGTGGAGATTAGGCTTTTTCAAAAGACGGCGTCCTGATCCCACGCTCAGCGGTAACATCGAAAAACACAGAGTGGATGATAATTACTACGATTATTAATTAATTAAGAAGAACCTTTATTATAATATGATATAAACTATAGTAATTTTTTGTATTTTGCAACATATTTCTACAAGACTTTTATATAAAATATTTAGACTAAGACAAATGGTACTTATAGATATGTAAATATATAATAATATAATTATTATATATATATTTATTTTTTTAACGTGTATTTTTATTTTATTATTTATATACTGTTTTATTTGTATATTTAAATATAATTTTCGTCTTTCTGAACATTTTACTACAAATAACAAACTTCAGCTTGTCGAAATTAAAATAATTTTATTTATTATTCAATTTAAACGTTTATTTTTCCCCCATCATTTTGATTTTTCAAAAAAAATATAGCTAATTTTATTTTCGTGGTGTTGCAGTCATCAGCTAAGTGGATCAAATTTACAAGGTCAAGTTTTGGTTGCAAATTTGGTTACCATTACACTAAAATTATGTATTTGTATTTAACTATAAGCCTTTATGCTAAAACCATTAAGTAATTGAAAATTAAATTATAAAATTGAAAGAAGTAGGTAAGTAATTTGGGAATTTTTTTATTTTATTTTGCATTCGAAATATGCTCCCAGAAAATGTAATCAAATTTAATTTAATTTAGAAAATGAATAAATACCGTTATTTCAAATATAACAATACTTATGTATAAAAGATTTTAAAATTGCATTATTAGCAATTTTTTCACTAAAATAGGGTTTTCTGTGTGATATACAAGATATATATATATATGTACAGGGATTAATATTTAATGCGATAGGAGTTTTGACTTATACATTTGTGAAGTACAGTAACTTTTTAATGTGGAAGTTCTATGAAATTGAATTATTTAAACATTTTATTTTCAATATTTTATTGTAAATTGAGAAAGTCGCAAGATGTTTGCGAGATTGCTATTTCATACACATTTTATGGTATTTAGCATAAAAGTAAATTAATATAATTTTTTATTTATTGTAAATTGTCATCAAACATTTGTTAGTTTATTAAAAGTCATAGAAGTATTTTGGGTACTTATGTGCATTGAGAACAAAGTATTCGATGGTTGTGGAGAACATATAATTATATATTTACTCCATGATGATAACGGATGTCTTTGTTACTCATTTTATTTTAGCACCTTGAAATTTCATAATTACCTATATAATTTCTTATAATTATAATATACATTAAATTACATATTTATTTTTGTACATAAATTTAATAGATGTATCTATAGAACATTTATTATACAGCCATTTTCATTTGTTCTCCTCAAAACTTGTAAATTAATAGAATAGTCAAACAATTCATTGTTCTAATTTTAGACTTTAGGATCTAAAATATATTTCTGTCAGACCAATCACTACTTTGATAAGTTACAATAATTTATCATTGAGCACAAGTTCTAAAGTCAATATTTAAAGTAGTATTTATTGTTTGTTAAATGTTCCTAAAATATTTATTGATTATCATGTTCATTAAATTAAAAAAAAGTTACCCCTGCATAAAAAATTGATTTATTTGTAAGATTATGAACATTTTGAATATTATTTGAATTATATTTACTATTTTTGTTTACTGTTCCTTGACTGTTTTTTAAATGAATAGGTTCAATTATTAATATTAAACTACTCTTAATTATAAATTGTTGGTAATTTTTTTTTTCTAGCCATTCCGAGAACTAATTAAAAAAAAATAAAAAAAAAAAGTCGTGAAAAGTAAAGTAGGTTGATATTCATCTATTTGATTTATTAACATAAATTAAAATTATTTAATGATAATCCACTGTTGTGGTTAGTATTTATTCTTATTTTTCAAAGTAAAAATTAAGAGTTAAATTATACTTAGCTAATACTTTAAAGAGCTCATTTCTCGATTTTTTTTCTCTAATAATTTATATGCAGAGGTAAACTTACCAGTACATAGTATATACATTTCTAAATAATAATAATAATAATAATAAATACTAACTAAAATATTTTTTTGACGTATATTGGACAGTCCCGAACTGGCTAAAAAATGTAAAACTTTTTTTTAAATAAAAAATAATGTGTGGTCCAATAGTTTCCAACAAGTAACCAACAATGTCAAATACTATTTTTAAATTCTCAATAATATACTTTTTATTAAACATTTTCCTTTCTAGTTGTACTGTATTTTTATTTTCAGTATTTTTAATTTTTTCCGCATAATTTATCTCACAAAAATAATTTTCTCAATTATTTAGCTTTTATACTTACGATACATGTATACATCCATTATAATAAATTCACTTAAGCTTAATACATTTTCACATTTTATTTTAGTACTTATACATTTTGACTTAATTTAAATTAAAATACAAGATATTTTCAAAAAATAAATGTTGAAAAAATTGCAATTCGTTTTACAATAACTCACGTAAATGTTCTTTTGCGTTTTGAATCAAACTCGTATGGTATTATAATTGGTTGTTAGCTGTTTTTAGACGTCAAACGTTGAAAAAAACATCTGAAAACAGTTATCGATTCGATTGTGACGTGCACTGATATGTACTACATAATCCCTCTCTTCGTGGGCTATCGTGTGGATGGGCTTTTATCATTAATGTCCGATTACTACGAGCCACTGTACGGAGGCGGGGGAGTCTTTGTCCTTGATGCATTTTTATAGAATTATATTGAATCTATACGGTTACACTTCTCGTATCATTTAAGTTCCCACGCACGTCGCTCAATTGTATATCATTATTTTGCGGTTTCATCTGATTGAATGTTATTTAGGACAAATTAAAAAGTGGTGATACTGTATCGTCATTTGCTAGAACTAACAGCAAACATCTGTTACTAAGTTTTTTCATCCTCCCTAATATATATAGATAATAAATTAATTGGTTGTATGAATTAAAAAAGAATTAATTAAATAATTGTAAAAAAATAAACTTTATTGTGATTTTTAAAATTAAAAAAATTAAACCTAACCTTTTTTACGTTGATTTATGGTCTCGTTATCTGCGCAAGTTTGATGGGAAGTAACCTCCACGGATAATGAGGGATTACTGTATGCTTTTATAGTATTGAACTGAATTTCCTTTTTATTTTGTATAATTATTAATTATCCGTTAATTATTTTCGTTTATCGTTTCATAGTAAGTATTCACATTTGAAAGAACAATATGACGTATATATTTTGAATTTTCGTTGAATGATAATATTAGAGAGGAGCCCAATTATTTTTACTGTACTGGAGCACTTTTCTACCTAGCTACGCCACTGCCTATTTTTTACTTTTTAACTCGTTATTATAAAGTATGTTTTTTGTCGTTGAAAAATCTTTAAAAAATAATACAAACAAAACAGAATATTTATACAAACACATGTATACATTGTGTTATTATAAATATACACATAAAATGTAGCGGGCGCATGTTCGAATAAACAAATAAAATCGAATATCCATAAAAACATTTATAAATCGTACCCTACGTCCGAGTATATAATATGCTAATTATAATGTTACTATAAAACGTATTTTTAAGTCTGGTGCCAGATACATTGCCGTATGTTAGCAGTACCGTTGCAGCGTCATACAAATAATGTACATCCGAACATGATATGTTATATAATGCAGTGATCATTATATTGCAATGCCTACATAACTTTGATGATTTCGAAGAAAGCATCGACTTGTATAGATCGGCTAGATATAGATAGTATTTATAATGACGAACAAAGGAGTCTCATGAATTGTTCGAATTGATTCACACAACTTAGGAAATGAATATAAGAAATATATTAATGTCATTTAGGTTTCGGATTTTTCGGATTTTCAATACCTATTTTATCGGATTATTTATTTATATTAATATTAATAGTTTAATGAAAATAAGGGAATAATATTTGTTCGCTATTTGTAGTCGATCTCAAAATTATTTAAAATTAACATCTAGTGTCGTAATTCCTCTTCGTGGCGTCCTAGCGGATTTTATTTTGGCGCTTATTTTTTACAAAAAAAAACCAGTTTTAATTTAACTGAAATGCGCTCATTACTTTGCTGCACCCTTGGCAACAGCCCATTTCGCCAACATGTAGTTACGGCACTGTGAAAATCAATGTTAATAATGCAATCCTGAAGTTCGTATAAAAGTTTACGTCGATGCCATTGGAAATATTTTGTAGGTACATTTGTTACCAAAATTAATGTATTAAAACGATAATGTACCGTTAGAATAATATCTTATTCGGATCTCTCAGCGGTATTGATTTTATTTTCACATCGTAACACCCCGTAAAATTCGTTACGAATTTTCGAAAGAATATCAAACCGAATTTTAAACGTATTTTATTTTTATCTTTTTTTTTAATTTTGTATATCGCGTAGTTAATTTCAAAGGTTTTTTTTTACCCACAGATTTCAATCGTTGTAATAATATGTAGCGTGTAGGTGTGTTAAACAATCATTTACTACAGTATGTATGATAATGTAATGGCTAATACGCATGCGCTGCGTCTGGTAACATTTGAATAGCGTTCGTATGTGTCGGCCACTGGAACTTCATAGTTGAACACTACAGATGTACCGCTCCGTCGGATGATATATTAATACACCTATAAGTTTCACGAGTTGAACATATCTTTCACGTGGTTCGTATAAATATCGACAGGTAAGATTATTTTTTCTTATGTTAAATTGCTATCATTATTATAACGTTATTTCCGATTATATACCGTATTTAAATAATGTACTTGCCCGTTTGATGTCAGTTATACTCGTGCGAATACTGGAAACGGTAAACCCGAATTAAAACGATTTTCAGGTGCCCATTGAAGTATGCATGCCGTCTATCGGTCTAAATCGGTTTCACGTGGTCACCTAATATACCAAGGGGTGGGTTGTACCATTTAGTGTAGCTAATATTTTAGGGTGGTTTTATTCTATATAGATAACAATCAACTGATCGCATAACGAAATACGTAATATACCTATTAGGATTAAATGGTGAAATATAATACACAGTGGTATCCAGTGATAATTAAATGTGTTGCTTACGGTTTTTCAATTAATTGATTAATTTTAATCGTACGAAAATTACCAGGTTCGAATGTTTCCATTAT